AGGACATATTAGTGCATCTCAATGAACTTGTATTTCCTGCAGATTTTTATGTGCTTGATATGGGAGATGAAGACCAAACCTCAAGTTCCATACTTTTAGGTATACCATTTTTAAAAATAGCAAGAACAAAAATTGATGTCTACAATGGTACATTCTCTATGGAAATTGATGGGGAACTCATTAGCTTCAATATCTATGAAGCAATGACGTATCCAACTGATGTTCATTGTATAAATTTTTATGATATGATCAAACCTTTGACTAAAAAGTGTTTTAACTTGACTAACCATGATTCTTTGGAGTTAGTTTTGAACAAAAAATTTGACAACAATTTAGTCAATAAAATTGCAGCAAATTTCAAGCTTGATGAGGAATTACTAGAGATTGTGGAGTTCATGGAAGAGAGGAAGAAAATGAGTTATGATAATACGAAGTTGAAATTGCCCATTTCTAACACAAAACTTCTTCCTTCTGTTGTGCATGCACCAAAGTTAGAATTGAAGACTCTTCCCGAGCATTTGAAGTATGAGTATCTTTGAGAAAAAGAGACATTGTCTGTTATTATCTCCAATAAGTTGTCCAAAGAAGAAGAAAATAAGTTGGTGAATTTGTTAAAAGAGTATAAGAGGGCTATTGGGTGGACGATTGCTGACATAAAGGGGTTAACTCCTTCCTTATGTATGCATAAGATTCTCATGGAGGAAGAATTCAAACCAACCAGACATGCACAAAGAAGATTGAATCCCCCAATAATGGAGGTAGTAAATAAAGAAATCATGAAGCTTTTGGATGCAGGTATGATTTACCCTATCTTTTATAGCAAATAGGTGAGCCCCATTTAGGTAGTCCCGAAAAACGGTTGGGGTCACAATTGTCAAAAATGTTGAGGGGGAATTGGTGCCAACCCATGTGCAAAATGGGTGGCGAGTTTCTATTGACTATAGGAAGTTGAATGCTTCAACAGGAAAGGACCCTTTCCCCTACCATTTATTGGCCAAATGTTAGAGAGATTGGAAGGTAAATCCCACTATTTTTGTTTAGATGGTTTCACATGATTTCATCAATTTCCGGTAGCCCCGAAAGATCAAGAGAAAACCACCTTCACTTGTCCCTTTGACACATTTGCTTATAGGCGTATGCCTTTCGGTTTATGCAATGCACCTGCAATATTTCAGAGATGCATGGTGAACATTTTTTCTAAATATGTTGAAAACATCATCGAAGTTTTCATGGATGATTTCACAGTTTATGGAAACTCCTTTGATGAATGTTTGAGTAATTTAACAAAAATTCTGGAAAGGTTCATTGACACAGATCTTGTGCTTAACTATGAAAAATATCATTTCATGGTGGACAAAGGATTGATTTTAGGTCATCTAGTGTCCCAAAAAGGCTTGGAAGTTGACAAAGCCATGATTAACATCATCAAAAGTCTCCCTTACCCGACAAATGTTCGAGAAGTTAGTTCGTTTCTTGGCCATGCAGGTTTCTATCGGTGGTTCATAAAAGATTTCTCAAAGATTAGAGTGTCGATGTGTCAACTACTCCAAAAAGATGTCGAGTTTGAGTTTACTTAACCATGCAAAGATGCTTTTGATCATTTGAAAGTTTTTCTCACTTCCGCTCCAATCATCTAACCACCTATTTGGGATCTCCAGTTTGAGATTATGTGTGACGTGAGCAATAATGCGGTTGGGGCGGTGTTGGGACAAAAAGTGAACCGAGCTCATCATGTCATGTATTATGCATCCAAGACTTTGGATAGTGCTCAAACCAACTATAGCGCAACAGATAAGGAGTTGTTAGCAATTGTCTTTGCATTAAAGAAATTCTGACAGTAACTCCTCGGGACCAAAATGCTCATCTATTCGGATCATGCAGCTATAAAGCCTTTACTACTCAAGAAAGATTCGAAGCCGAGGTTAATACGGTGGATGTTGATTCTGCAAGAGTTTGATATAGAAATCAAAGATAAGGTGGGAAATAGAATTTGGTCACAGATCATCTCAGTCGTATTGTGCCACCTGAAGACACCACACCAATCCGTGACACATTATCAGATGATCATTTGTTACTTATCAAGGAAGATCCATGGTATGCGGACATTGTCAATTATTTGGTCACAAGTCAGTTTCCCCCGGAATCCACACGTTGGCAAAAGAATAAAATCAAGAAGGAGGTGAAAAAGTATGTATGGGATGAACCATATTTTTGGAATATAGTGCAAACCAAATGATCCGAAGATGTGTTGAGAAAAAAAAGAGGTACAATCAATCCTTAAATTTTGTCATACCTATGCTTGTAGAGATCATTTTGGACCCCAAATGACAGCTAGAAAAGTTCTAGAAAGCGGATTTTATTGGCTCACCATTTTTCATGATTCTATGTGCTATGTGCACATTGTGATAGGTGCCAAAAATTCGGGTCTAAGAATCTAATGCCCCTCACCCCCATCTCGGTATGCGAGATATTTGATGTGTGAGGTATTAACTTTATGGGACCATTTCGCCCTATTTTGGTTGTACATATATTCTGTTGGTGGTGGACTATGTGTCCAAATGGGCGGAGGCCAAGGCCACCCGTACTAATGATTCCAAAGTTGTTGTGGATTACCTAAAAGCACAAATTTTCTCCCGATTTGGCACTCCAAAAGCTTTGATAAGTGATCGTGGGACTCATTTTTGCAACCGAATGTTTGAAGCCGTTTTGAAAAAGTATGGGGTGACTCATAAAGTCTCAACATCATATCATCCCTAAACCAATGGGCAAGCAGAGGGTTCCAATTAACAAATCAAAGGAATTTTGGAGAAAACAGTCAATCTAACCCGTAAGGTTCGAAGTATAAGTTTGGATGATGCCTTATAGGCATACCACATTGCTTTCAAAACCCCCATTGGTATGTCCCCATACCGGCTAGTGTTTAGGAAACCATGTCGCCTTCCGGTTGAACTTGAACACAAAGCCTTTTGGGCTGTGAAGAAATTCAATTTGAATGAAGATGAAGCAGGCAACAAAAGGAAGTTGGACATTCAAGAATTGAAAGAGATCAGAAATGATGCTTATGAAAGTGCAATGATCTACAAAGAGAAGACCAAAGCATATCATGCCAAGATGATCTCCCGAAAAAACCTCACAAAAGGTAAAAAAGTGTTGCTTTACAACTCAAGATTTGAGTTGATACTGGGGAAACTAAGATCAAGATAGGTTGGTCCCTCTGTGGTCAAAAATGTCTTTGACCATGGTGCAATGGAAATCACACGACAACAAACTAGGAAGATTTTCAAAGTAAATGGCCATAGATTGAAACCGTATTATGAAGGGTTCCAAGTGAAGAATGAAGGGATGGAAGTGGTTGAGAGCCCCACATATCAAGAATGACACATATTCAATGGCCAAGTTGAGCCAACGACATAAAAAACGGGTGGCTAACCGAGAGGCAACCTAGGGGTATTTTTGTCTTTTCCTTTATTTTTCATTTTCTCATCATATTTTCTTTGTTTTTAAGCTTTCAAGTTGTTTTCATGTTAAAAGAGGTTCAAAAATAAATTTCCGGGCAGTAGCAAATTAGCGGGTTGCAAATTGAAAAAATGAAAAAATCAATATTTTTGCCTTCTCAGAGATATACACGGTCGTGTAAATTTTGGACTATCATTTACGCGGCCCGTGTAATTAGTCAGACCAATATATTTCAGAGGTGTCATATACATGGCCGTGTAAATTTATACTTATCGTTTACACGGGCCGTGTAAATGTAAAATTAGAGCTGGACGTTTTTAGGCTTAAAACTCAATTTTTTTGCTCATTCTCTTCACACAACCTGCGATTCTTCTTTTCCCTACTGTCCCTTCGAAAAAAACCTCACAAAACACCCCATCTTCCTCAATTTTGCTCCAAAAATCAAGCTCCAAGGTATGAAATTCTTCTATTTTCTTCATCTTCTTTGTCTTGCATCTCAATTTCACCCTCTAATGGCCGATTATTTATTTATTTATTTTTTTTTTTTTTGGGGGGGGGTGAGCAAACCCTACAATTTTTGGATCTCCAAATTTCATGCTAATCTTTGTAGTTTCTTGTAAGATAAGCTTGGGGAAAGCTTAGGGAAGCATTGGACATCACCCTAACACCATTTGCAAACATAAATTTGGTATAATTGTTCTAAACTCTTTTCTTTGTGCATTTAGTTAGAACCACGTTTTTGGGGTGATTTTTGGTGGGATTGCTAGTTTTTGTGCATACTCTAGAGTCCAAAATTGTCCTACATTATGTAGAAAACTTTGTTGAATTCATTGGACAATGGCTTCCCGTAGCAAAATGATTGGAGTTAGGACCTCAAATATAGGTGGTCAAGAGACTCATGATGAACAAGACCAAGATCCCATGGAAAACCCCTATGAATCTGGCCTTATTTTTTAGACCAACCCATAAGAAATTTTGTATTCAATCCTTATTCAAAGGGTAAAAGGGGCTCAAAATTTTGTGGATATCCAAGCCCTTAAGGACCTTCACATTTACATGGAGTCCACAAAATTTTGAAGAACATAGGTTGGGAAGGTCTCTTGAATCTCCACGCGGTAAGCTACCAAACGCCCATATTGGAACTCTTGTCCTCCGTCACCTTTGATTACCAAACACACATCATCACCTTTCGTCTACTCAACCAATCACACCAGATTCATGCTGACATCCTTTGTGATATTATTGGTGCTCCAAAAGCAATAAGGGATGTGTATACGACAAAGGGTAGAAAAAATGTCATATTTGAGCAAAGCTGTGAAATATTTTGGATAAGCATCTCTTTTGAAGGCGAGTTTTAATCGGGCACGACAAAGGCTTTTAGTATCATACATCCGGTCCTTAAGGTTACCTATGGGATTATTGCTTCTCTTTTGTTCCCTCAAGAAGATATTAGCAAAGCAAACAAGAAGGCATTGGAAGTCCTATGGTGCATGATCCATAAGCTCGAGGAAGTTTCTCATTTCGGGTGTTGGGTAATCAAAAAAATGCTCAGAAACTCCATGAGCTATGGTATCCAGCTTCACTGTGGAGGAATGATCTTAATTATAGCTGAACATCTTAGTCTCCACATACCTAACAACCCCACTGATATAATTCCGGGTCGCACTCGTTTATTTATTGATGTTATGGAGACTATGCACCTCTTTCACTGCTATCCTAATGAGGATGTTCATTGGACCGTAGATGGTAAAGTATATCTACGTATTGATAGCTGAAATAAGAAGATACTCACTTGGGTGCTACTGTGGCCCATAGACCTCCAACCACCACCCCTGCTCCCACTATAGGTGCCTCCAAATCGGCTCGCCCCATTCCCTTTCCCGAACACAACCTTTACATGGGCGAGTTTGCACGATTAGACCACCATTACACGAGTCTTCAGCAGGAGGTAGTCAAGATTTGTACATGTGTTTCTGAACATACCTCCGAGTTTCAGGACTACCGTAATCTTCAGGAGGAGCGTTGGGCCCAGTAGGAACTGCGGTGGGCTGAATTTGATCAGCGATGGGCCCCTTAATTCACATATGAATTACATGTGATTCACATATAATTCACATATGAATTACATGTGATTCACATGTAAATCACATATGTATGTTTGTGAGTGTATTGCATCAATCATTTTTTTTAATTGTCTTGTAGATTTAGAAGAAATTGTGGTGAATATTGAAGAGGTGAAAATGATACATTGAATAAAATATAGAAATATTGACACGAAGACATGAAAAGCTTTGAAATTGTGTATTATTTTTTTTGTTTTTTATATTTTATTTTGTATCAAATAAAATATTTATTCTATTGTGTTTATAGATTAATAATAAAATGAGTTTTATTATGATTTCCTTACAAATATTATAGTATATAAAATATGCATATATGAATTTGTAAAAATATGCAAATATGTACCTAAAATGTTGATATTTTTGGTTAAAAAATTATAGTGTTTTTTAAATACCCCAGTTGAGATTCTATGCGTTCTCAACCGATCTCTCTTTTTCTCTCTCTCTCTCTCTCTCTCTCTCTCTCTCTCTTTCTCTCTCTCTCTCTCTCTCTCTCTCTCTCTCTTTTTCTCTTTCTTATATATATATATATATATATATATACACACACAAATTATTTTGTTTTTACTAACTATTGTGTATCAGAATGCATAGATCTGGACCATCGGATGTAATATAATCAAAGTTCATGATCTGAAAATCTATGATATTACAATAGGGTAGCATGCACCACATAATCACACAAAATTTAACATAAGAGTATTTTGGTCAGTTTACCCTTATTAAAAAAAGGAAATTTCCAGAATTTAAGGGATAATTAATTCCTTTAGTTTTAAAAATCAGAATATTTTAAATTAATTGAAATTTAAAAATCCGATTTTATTCTGTCAGAATGACAGAATGCCTATACAATAGTTTTTTCTTATATATGCATAAACATTCTAAAGCATGTATAAATGTATTTTGTCAGAATATCATCGAAAATGAATAAAATTCTTAAATAATAGCATTCTTGCATATACAATTATTGAACAAATACATTATTGCATATATCATCGAAAATGAATAAAATTCTTAAACAATAACATTCTTGCATATACAATTATTGAACAAATACACTTGATCCTCTTCAATTGTCCATATAATCAACTTGATCTTCACATATATACTTGTTGTTGAACCCGATTCCAAATAATTCTCTTGTATGATCAGTATTAAATTCCTTCTTCATGCAATTCTGAAAGAATAAGATACATTACTTGTTAGTATTACCACTTAAACAAATATACTTTTTGTTAACAAACATTCTCAAAGAAATTCTAAACCAGTGTTCTAAAAGACGCACCATGGCGCGCGCCAAGGCGTGCCATGCCGTTAGGCGTGGCTTCGCCGTTACGAAAAGCCTCATAACGTTTCTGTTAGGCGTTGCTCGTGGCAAGGCGTGATATGGCACGCCATGGCGCGTTATGGCGTGTTATGGTGCATGTTTTTTCGTTTGAGACAAAGTTTTTTGCTCTTTGTTATGTCTTTTCTAATTGGAGATACAAGTGTTGTGTTTTTTCTTAATTTTTTGTTATTAGTTATTGATCTAACACTTCTAAAAAGTAGTTATATTTAATATAAATTTATATTTATGTGGTAATATAATTTTAAATTAATACAAAATCGCCGCCTTACATCACGCCTTGAAAAACGTCATGGCTCATCATAACTCGTTAAGCTTGAGGTTTGGTCTTACCGCCATGTCATGCCTCACGCCATTTAGAACCTTGTTCTAAACAGAATACATTTATATAAATAAATTTTAACAGAATACATTACAAAATGCACTTAAATCATAATCTTTTCTTCTATATGCATAAACATTCTAAAGCATATATAAATGTATTATGTCAGAGTTACTAGCAACACATGTTTTATGTAATATTTATATTCTCATAAAATGAACGTTGTAAATTGCACCAAAACCCATAAATAAAAATTAAAGAAAATACAAAACCAATGAGTAAGTGCATAAAAAATTCAATGCTTAAGTTGAATTGGAACTTAAGCATTAGAATTCAGATTTCATTCTAGCAAAATTACCCTCATCATATTAGTCACTATTGTAAGTGTGTAAGAAAATAAATAAAAAAATTAAAAATATTGTAAAAATCATCAACAACATGTTAAAAGAATAAGAAATAAGTGTAAATTATGTAGCAAATAATAGAAACATAATATAGTTTTATAGGACTATAGCAAAAATCATCAAGAATTGCAATAAATAATTAGCAACAATTATAAGAACTAACAACACGTGTAAGAAGAAATCAATATCAATTGCAAGAATCAGACAAAACCAAGCTAAAAAAACAACTATCTTTGAAATCGTCATCATGGGATTTGACCAACAACTCCAAAATTGATTTTTGAGGAGATTTATCAGGCCAGAAGAATCAATTTTTAAAATCAAAGAGAAAACTTCACCGATTTATAACTATCTTTATTTATAGAAAGTCATTCAAAATATTTTTTTAATACATGTTCTTTCAGTCCAAGTTTACAACTTTTTTGGCTGGAATTGTGTATAATTTTTACCCGTAACTAAATTCTATCACCTGTTGGAGTAAAAGAAAGGTTTCATGGCCAATTCATAACACTGACTATGATGCATGGTCTAAAAGGGTATAATCCATTTTTTATTTAGACAATTTTGGACCCTTGATTAACAATTTTCATAGATAAATTTCTAAAGTATGAGAACTTAACTACCAAAAAACTAGTAACTGCATAGATTCGCTGCATGCACAAATCTATGACTTTTACCCAACTTACTAGAACAATGGCTCGCTCTTTTAAATCCCACCAATACCCCATGTCTAATTATATATGAAGCATATAATCTGAATTAGAAACATCTATAATCCAAATCAATTCAACAATAAAAGATGGATAAAATTAAACACAAACCCTAACATAACACAAATTCAAAATGCTAACCTTTTAATACTCTAATTGGTAGATTTGGACGGAGCGTTCTTGTTGTAGATGAAATTAGGAGGAGAATAGATAAGAGAGGTGATCATGGCTCCAGGCAACACCCCAAATAAGTGATGCTATTGCCAATTTTTTCACTAGCGGCTCCTCATTTTGATTTCATCCTCCCTGTAGTTGAAAAAGAATAAGCGTAGAAATATAAAAGAGGATATAATATATATATATCTATATATATATATATATATATATATATATATATATATAGAGAGAGAGAGAGAGAGAGAGAAAGACAGAGAGAGAGAGAATAGGTCAAATATATTTACTTTATTTCCTTAATTGAATGATTTCAATTAATGACTTCCTTAATTAAAAGTACAAAAGGTTCAAAATACTATTTAATGATTTATTTAATTATTTATTATTTATTGAATTATCATTGTTGTATTTGGACACATAATAGTTTGCTAGAAACATTCGAACCTAGCTCTCTCTCTCTCTCTCTCTCTCTCTCTCTATATATATATATATATATATATATATATATATATATATAGGGGTGTTGATCGGGTAATTTTTCCGAGTTTCGGGTCAGTTAATTCGGATTTTTCATGTTAAAAAAAATATCCGTTACCCGACCCAAATTAAATTCGGGTTTAGGTAATTCGAGTAGTGGGTCGGGTTCGGGTAACTGGGGCATTACCCGAAATATATAATATTTTTTGAATTGCACCTGAAAATAAATTTAATGAAATAAATACATCGTGCTTTATTGATCTTGTTTATATAAACAAACGAGGCATGAACGAAGTTACTCAAACTTTGAACATTGAGATTTTTTAGTCAATAAACTTGAGATACCAAGTAATCTTTTAACAACTTAATATAATCTAATAAGATGTTAAAAAAACCGAATACTTAAATATCTTAGTTTAAAAGTTTAAAATGTTTAAGATAATTGTAAACATAAGTTTTGCTATGTTCTAATGTTTCATCATGATAATAAGTTTGTTAGTTTCAATAAAAACTATAATCTAGAAAACAGTTAAGTTGTAAAGAACATAGTGATATATAAACAATTGTTTTTAATTTTGTTAGTGTTATATTGCCATAATAAAAGAGATTCATATTATACAATAATGATAGTTACTTTAAGCATGATTAAATACTTACTATATAGTACAAGCTTTTACAATTTTTTTTTTTTAATAATTCGGGTATACCCGAAACCCAACAAACGTATCCTATATCAGATCTGAGAAAAAAATCATGTTACCTGAATATCCGAAAAAATTTACTTAATATCCGAAAAAATCAAACGGGTAATTCGGATCGGATATTTTCGACAAGGATATTTATATATCGTCGTCATTCGTCATGCTTCTTTAAGTATGTTTTGAAGCGTCAAAGTGGTTGCAAATGCTTTCTGTTTTTCTAAGAAAAATGTGAAACCTGACCCAAAGTAGAAAATTTTAAACGCACCAATAAGTTCGAATTATTTGGGCTTATTTAATTTAGGGAGTGGGAAGTCCAGTTAAGAATAAGTTTCTTGATGGTTATGGTTTGAGCCATTATTTTAGTGGTTGAAACTTGAATAATTTTTTCCATTAAAGCATCCAACAAGCCAACAAGATAAATACGATTACAGACAGGCAAGACAGGTCTAGTTAGTACAAGCTAATATTGGGCTATTTTTTATAATCTTCCACACCTTCGATTTATAGAGAAAACGATTAAACCAACGTTGCACATAATAATAATAATAATAATAATAATAATAATATAAATTCAACCACATAATGAATATGATTATACTAAAGATTTATGCTCATTTTTAATATTCACATCTACACATGTTACGTGGTAAGAAGCTTACTTATGAGTCTAGAGTGGGAGGAAAAATTATACGCGATGCGGCAGTGAACACAACCGGACAACCCCAAAGGTGGCGTGGTGGGTGGGGTTGAGGTTCGAACCACCACATACTGCAATTCTCTTA